AGAAATGTATGACTTGGGGGGGAAATAAGATCAAACAATCATGAAGTCAGGAGACAACTGATGTGTGTGTGCGCCATGGACATCTACACAATATTGAGAGCACGTGAAGAAGGCCCGCAGGCCTCCCTGGCAGATTTATGAGAGAGCTTGGATAAAAAGGGGGAAGCATGAGTGGGTTACAATCTTCATTTTTGTAGGGTTTACCCACATCAATTAGATAAAAATCCATTGATGTTCTAGAATATCGATGTTCTATAATATGCTCCACACATACTGTTTTATCTCATTTCACCAATACTATGGCAGCAGAAAGAAGCTCTGTTGGCTGAGCTTTTTTTTTGTTGTTCAATTAACAATCATTTATTTTCACTTTACAGCTCCCCACATTGCTCCCACTGGAAAAAAAAAAAAAGAAAGAAAATGAAAAACAAAACCCATGTAATAATGTGTGTATACATATATATTCAAATAAAATTGATCCCCACATTGGCCACATTCAAAAATTTAAGTCTTAATCTGCAAATTGAGTCCATCTTCCCTCTGTTAGGAAGAGAAATAATTAACTAAGAGGGGGAAAAAATCTTTACAGAAAGTTTCTTTGATAAAATTTTCATTTCAAGACATATATGGAGATAATTTAAATTCATAAGAATAAGAGCCATTTTCTAATTAATAGATGGTCAGAGGAAATGAATAGTCAATTCTCAAGGGAAGAAATCCAAGTTATCAATAGCCATATAAAAATGTTCAAATCACTAATAATTAAAGATATTCAAACCAAAGTAATTTTGAGATTCCACCTACAATCCCCACTTAAAAGGCTTTTTCCCAACCTCTCTATTTCCTGTTTATCCTGAATGTAGCTTGTTTGTACCTATTTGTTAGCTCATTGCACCTCCCCTCTCCCCCAGCTCCTTAGACTGTGAGCTCCTTAAGGGCAGGGACTGTTTTTTGCCTTTTTTTTTTATTCCTGGTATTTAGCACAATTCCTGGCACCTAGTAGGCATTTAATAAATATTTATTGACTGACTGACACTTCATACCCACCAGATTGGCAAAGTTGACCCAGAAAGGGGAGGGAGGGAGTGGAAAATGACAAATTTTGGAGGGGCTTCACCAAAAATGGCACACAAATGTGTTACAGCATTTTTAGAATGCTACCTACCTATGGGCTTTAGCTGTCATTACCCAGAACCCCACCTTGAAGATGATGATAGTGATAGCTCATATTTATTCAGCATTTTAAGAGCCATGCTAGAAACAATGCTCTGCTCACAGCTTTTACTTGCTCCTCCACGTTGAAAGCAAACAGGGAAGGCAAGAACATTTCTGGAATCAAACTGGTTTGTATTTTGCACCTCTCCCCCCATTTCTTGGCCAATGGCTGACTGGAAGAAGCCCCTTTCCCCTGGGAGTGAAAGTCAACCTTATCCTGGTTGGAGCATTCTCCAGGGAAGGCCCATGGTTAGGTCAAAAAGGAACAAGAGGTTGATGAGGCTGAAAAAATGTAAAGCCTCAGAGCATAAGCAATTTTAGTGGCAGTGACACGTGTGTGTGTGTGTGTGTGTGTGTGTGTGTGTGTGTGTGTATACACTCATGCATACTTTGAGGGAGAGGAAGGTAAAAGCATTTTTCCCCAGGGCCTTATCATAGCATAGAGATGAACTCTGAGTTTTAAAAGACTTTAAATGTTAGTATGTTATGATAAGACCTTCCAAGCTAAATTATATATATATTATATACACATAAGTAAATACATGTAAGTGTACATGTTTACATGTATATATATATACACACACATTGCATCAAGGTAATCCTTTTGTATCTCCCTAATTGATTCATTATCCCACTTACCACAGTGGCTTTTCCAATAGCTCCCCATTCCCCATTTGCTCTCAGTGGAGAACCTCACCTCATATATGTCACTGAAAAAAATTGAGACCATTCTTAGAGAGCTCTCTTTTTCCCGTTCCTCGTCTCACATTACTCAGATGCCTTCTGCAACTATCTCCTCCTTCCCCCCCTATTTTCCATTAAGAGGTCGCCTGTCTCCTTGTCACAGCAAACCCTTCTGCCCCTTTCATCACCTTCATCACCTGATGTCTGGACCATTGCAATGGCCTCTGTCACAAATCTTCCTCGACCCCAGTCCAGCCCCACTCAGCTATCAACCTGATATCTTTAAATCATGAGTCTGACCATGTCACCCCCCAGTCAATGGACTCCAGTGACTCCTTCTCACTTACAGGATCAAATACAAAATCTTCTGTTCAGCTTTTTAAACCCTTTAAACCAGGCCCTTGCCAGTCTTTTTACACCTTATTTTCCTCGAAGTAATCTGCCATCCAGTGACACCTGCGCCCTTGCTATTATTCCTCCAGAATCCAAGAGTTTTCACTGCCTGTCCACCATGTCTGAAACTCTTGCCTTCCTCATCTCCACCTCCCAGCCACCTAGGGTTCCTTCAGGTCTCGGCTAGAGTCTCACCTTCCGCAAGTTTTTCCCTGTCTTAGTGACTTCTCTTAATCTTAGTGACTTCTCTCTGAGACTATCCTCAATTCAACCTATCTATAACTTGTTTGTAGCTCACTGTTTACACGTTGTCTCCCCTATCAGACTGTGAGCTCCTTGAAAACAGGAACTGTATGTTTTCCTTTCTTCATATCCTCAAGGCTCAACATAGTGCCTAGTACAGAGCAGGCACTTATAGATACTAGTTAACTGACTGACTGACTTAATATGTACACAATGTCCCCCCTGTTAAAATGTAAACTCCTTGAGAGCAGAGACTATTACGTTTTTATCTGTGTATCCCCAACATTTGATGCAGGGCCTCACATCACAGTCAGCACTTAATAAATACTTTTTGGATTGATTGGTTGATATATGCCCCAATGACTGAGTCTTCCAAAAACCAATCTGGCTAAGTTTAGAAAGGCTTCAATGATCCACTGTCACCTCCATGCCACTGTGAGACATAGGAGTCAGACTTCAATAGGACACAAATATCAAGGAGCATGTATATTATGAGTAGAGCATCTAGGTGGTGCAGTTGATGGAGTGCTGGGCCTGGAGTCAGGAAGATTCATCTTCTTGAGTTCAAATCTGGCCTCAAACACCTACCAGTTGTGTGACCCTGGGCAAGCACTTAACCCTGTTTGCCTCAGTTTCTTCACCTGTAAAAAGAGCTGGAGAAGGAAATGGAAAACCATTTCAGAATCTCTGTCAAGAAAACCCCAAATGGAATCACAAAGAGTTGGACATGAGTGAAAAACAACTGAACAACAATAAAAGGTCATGAGTATGGGTCAAACTGATTTTTTTTTAAGGTTTGGGGGACTGTAAAATTAAACTCTGTATATGCTCATATAGCATGGTCCTCTGCTTTCCCTTTTAAATAAGAAATCATCAGAACTGGATGCGAACTTTAGGACATCCAGTTACCTTAGGTGCAGTCCTGGAGGGAGGAGAGGGATGTAAGCCTGGTTGAGAAGTAACTACCTTTCCACTCCCAAGTTTCCCCTAAAGATCTTTAAAGGATTACTGAAATAATGTTCTGGAATCATGAGTTTGGGATCAAATAAACCATAACATGAATGTAAAGTCTATTCCATTCCACAATAAGCCATTTGTTTAATGTTGTAATTGTTCCATGTGACCATGCAGTAGAAAAAGAGAGAAGAAAATCACATTCACCCACTTTTGTCCAAAGTGATTTTTTTTAAATGGGCTATTCATAATCTATAAGTCACACAGAAAAGCACAACAGCAGTGACTATAATGGTTTTCTTTTTATTTTTTTAGAAGAGACTTTTTCTTACTTGGAGAATCCCTGTACTGTGAATCATGTGTTTCTGCTCATTAATTTTGAACAACTAACTCACTTAAAAATAATGCCTTATTGATGCCTTTGTTTTTACATCACAGTCATTTCTGAAATACCAGCCCCCAGCCCTCCAAACTGAACTCCCCGGTAACAAAGAAAAACAGCCAATACCACATTTAATAATGTAAGACATTCTGCCCCAGTCAACTGACCCACTCTTGCTAAGAGCTGAAAGAAACCCACCTGAATAATTAAGCCTGCACCTCTATTCAGTGTGAGATCTTCCCTTCCTCATTCAACTAAAAATTGCATAGAAAGTCATGGGTTTCCTTCCAAAGCATGATCTGGCCCATTCAGATTTGGGTCTGGAGAAGGACAGAGGTAGAATGTTACTTATGGAAAGTACTCTTCATTTATAGACGGAGAATCTGGGCTCAAGCTCTGACTGAGATATTTGCTACCTATGTGACCTTAGGAGAGAAAAAGGGAGAAAAAAAACATTTATGAAGTGGCCACTAGGTGCCAAGCACTGTGCTAAGTACTTTTTACAAATGGGATCTCATTTTTATCCTCATGGTCAGTGAAGATAAACTCTGTAAAATAGGTACTATTTTATCTCCATTTTACGGTTGAGGAAACTGTGATATAAGTGCTATTTTATCTCCATTTTGGTTGAGGAAACTCAGAGCAGTAAGTGACTTGTCCAGAGTCACACAGCTAGGAACTATCTGAGGCTGGATTTGAACTGTATCCATTGGGCCACCTAGCTTCCTAAGTTGTCCTACTAGGCCTAAGTTTTCTCATCCATTGAGTGAGGGAGCTGGACTTTGGTCCCCTCTGAGATATTTTCCAATGGACTCATCCTTATCTCCATCTTTTGTATTCCTGACTTAATTACCATGTTCAAGTAATTTTTTCAGATAGATTGGAACCTGACAAAGAGAGTTTTTTTCATGGAAGACACATCCTTCCATGAGCAAGGGCTTTGGTCTTTCACCAGAGATAAATCTTCAAACCACAAAGGTCATTGAGATGCTAAAAGGACTTTCATTCAAACTGGACCTGCTCACCAGCCCTTAGAACCCCTTTCCCTTGGCCTATAGCTACCAGGCCCTCTGTAAGAGACTGTGTTAGAAACTGTCACAAATCCATCCTCTCCCCCTTTTTCTCTCAGGGCCGTGGGGGCAAAGGCAGCATTTATGTGTGGGCTTCCGGGGATGGAGGCAGCTACGATGACTGCAACTGTGATGGGTATGCCTCGAGCATGTGGACCATCTCCATCAACTCCGCCATCAACGATGGCCGCACCGCTCTATATGATGAAAGCTGCTCTTCTACCTTAGCATCCACATTCAGCAATGGGAGGAAGAGAAACCCTGAAGCCGGTGTGGTGAGTGCAGAATGTATGTTGCAAAAGGAACCTCCTCTGTTTGGAGACTCAGGAGGGCCTGGGCTTAATTCTGGGATTGCTACTGATTCATTGTGTTACCATTTAACCTCCCCGAGCCTCAGTTTCCCCATCAATGAAATGGGAATTAATAGACAGACATACACATAGAGGTACCATTTATATGAGTGTTTATTACATACGAGTCACTGTATTGAGTGCAGAGGATACAAGAGAGAGTGAAAATAACTACTGAACTCGAGAAATTGGCATTCTTTTTCTTAAAGGTTTATTTATATTTACTATTATTTATATGTTATTTTGTTATATTATGTTATTATAACATGATATATATTATAATGCTGTGGTATAATTTTTATTATATTTAAACATGTTTGATAATATTTATGTTATTGAAATATAATTTATTTACTTTGAATTTTATTTTATTTTTTTCATTAGCAAAAATCTATATCTCACCCTCCCACCTTCCCCCCAACTGAAAAAAAAAAAAAGAAAATGAAAACCCTTATAACAAAGGTACACAGTTAAGCAAAACAAGATCCCACATTGGCCAGGTCCAAAAGATATATGTCAGTCTCACCCTGAGTCCATCACCTCTCTGCCAGAAGGCAAGTAGTATGCTTCATTATTCAACCTCTGGAACTGTGGTTGATCAGTGAAGACCTTTCTATCCTGAGGGAAGGTCGCACATAAAGGGAAGGGAAGGAGCTAAAAGGGAAGGTGGAATAAGTCCTCAATAGCATGTCCAGAAACTTCCTAGAAGCCTGGAGCCAGGCAAAAGAGACCAAAGCTGGTCTAGGGAAGCCCAGATTGGTTCTAGAGGTAGAGTCCCCTGTGCGCTTGGGAGGAATGGAGATGAAGACCTGAGTGGAGACAGATGCATGGCTAAAAATGTCCAGGAATAATCATTTCTATCGATATAGTTAAAATACAAAGACACACATGAAAGCTCTTTGAAAGAAAGGTGTTATAATTTCTTTTCTGTGCAGCAGCCCAAGATATTACCATTATCTTCCCCTACTTGACACTCTTCTTGAAAGTGAACTGTTTTCCTTAAAGAACGAAACAGATGCTATGAGAATAACATTGTGCATTTTACCAGCTCCTTTTGATACCCTACCAGCAAAGTGGGAACTTAAGGTTTGCGTCTTGGGCAAAAAGCAAATGCTTCTACCAGTTGGAGCATCACATGTCAAAAATGTTAACAGCACAACTGCCTTTTATTAGGAAACTCAGGGTTTTTAATCTCTTGCTCAATGACAGATTTGTAAGGATAATTCATTTCATTCCATCATACACCAAACTACTCTGAGCCAATCAGAGGATTAGGACATTTTTTGCCACTTTTCTTCTGGTTTTGCACACACCCTGCTTAATAGAGATACAGAATCCTGAGGAGACAAGCAAAAGTTGAAGTAGGGAAATATAGCCAATGTTTATGAAAAAGTTTAGTAAATATGTGTCTTCTCAGCCAAGCCCACGTGTTCCAAAAGTCTTGTGCAGTTTAAAGCTTTAATAACTTTAAATAACCAGGCATCATGCTAGGTGCTTTACAAATATTATCTTATTGGATCCTCACAACAACCCTGGGAGATAAGTGCTATCCCCATTTTACAGTTGAGGAAACTGAGGCAGACAGATGGGTAAGTGACTTGCCTAGAGTCACAAAGCTAGGAAAGGTTTTTGAAAGAACTTTAATAGCTTAAAACTATATGAAGTCTTTTGGAACATACTGTAGAACTATAGAATCAGAGAGGCTTAGGGTTAGTAGGGACCTTAGAACTCATTTAGTCCAAAACCCTAATTTTGGAAATAAGTAAACTGAGGCACAGAATGGTCATAGGATCACAGATTTAGAGCTAGAAGGAATCTTAGAGATTTATCAAGTCTAACTGCCCCATTTTTGTTGTTGTTGTTTAATCATTCAGTCATGTCCAACTCTTTGTGACCCTGTGGACCATAGCATGCCAGTACTGTCCATAAGGTTTTCTTGGCAAAGATACTAGAGTAGTTTGCCATTTCCTTCTTCAATGGATTAAGGCAAACAGAGGTTAAGTAATTTTCCCAAGGTCACACATCTAGGAAGTGTCTGAGGCTAGATTTGAACTCAGGTCTTCCTGATTCCAGGCCCAGCATTCTATCCCCTGAGCCGTGTTAAGTGATTTGTTCAGGGTCATACATCTAGCAAGTGTCTGAGGCAAGATTTGAACCAAGGTCATCCTGCCTCTGTGTCCAGCACTCCATCCTCTATACAAAGCTGCCTCTCTTGAAGCAGGTATACTTATCCAAGCTAGTAACAATGGAGTCAAAACCAGACCTTAAGTTTTTTCGATGCTGATCTAGCTCCCTTTCCAAGTCTCTATTCTGAATTATTGCTTTTCATTTTGATTCAGTGATTTCCTAACATTCTTTGACTCCATAAAAAATACAGTTATATTTATTGAATCTACCCATGTAGCAATGTTTCTATTTCCTCAAGCAAATTACATAGTGGGTTGTGGGGATTGGGAGGAAGGTAGGGGGTTCCTTGAAAAGGAGTCCATTTACCAGTATTCAGTGGATGGAATGCTGTTTTTTCACAGAAGATAAATCTCCAAGAGAAAGGCTTGTCCTGGCTTGTCTCCAGATGCATAAAACACCGAAGTAGACAGGTCCAAGTCACTACAAGAATCTCAGATTTCAGATTTGGGGGGGTGGAGTGGAGGCTTTTGGAGACTGTGCTCTAATACTGATGTTATTGCAAAAGAGGGAGCAACTTTCACATCCAAGAGATAAATGCAGTGGCTGCAGCTCAGGACCAGGGGCTCACTTTACTGAAAAGTGCTGATCCTGCATTCCTGGCATAGCTTTTGTTGGCTAGGAATATAATTGAGATATTACAGATTTAGCATTGCAGCTTTATTATGGAGTCTGCTGGGATGTGAAGATTAATGGGAGAGGAACAAGCTTTCGATCATTTGCTAACCAGCAGGCACGGCAAAATAAAAGAAAATAAAGGATTTGAATCATCTCTGTTACCTATCTATACCAGGATGTTTGTCTTTTTCCAGGCTGGATTTAGAAATAGAAATGTGTATACTCCAGAGACTTGTTAGAAAGATGAAATAGACATGGAGTCAGAAAATGAGGGCTTTAGCACTGGCCTGGAACAGTGTGACTTGTGGGAAGTTGCTTCAACGGTTTGTAGCCTCAGTTTCCTCATCTATAAAATGGGCATAATAATAATTGTTTTACCTACTTCATTGGATTGTTGAGAGGAAAAAGCAATAAAGCTCTATATAAATATGAGATATTATTATTTTGTGCTTGTACCTTTTCAGAGTCATGGTTGTCAACCTAGTGATAGGCATTTATATTTTGAGTGCTGTTGGGTTAAAGAGAAAAAATGAAAAATTGAAGCCTTTGTCCCCACAGGTTTTAAATTTCTACATGCTTGGAACTATGCTGTTCTCTATAGACACTTCACAAATCCATTAATTCATGAAGGCAATGTGACTTCAGAAACAGAATTACTGTTTAGGTGGGGCAGGTATGCCTCTACCTTCTTTAAACACTGTCAAATGTTACCATCATCATCATTTTCACTGAGATTTTGGGAAGGGGAAAGGTGGGAGGTGGGGAGGAAGCAACAAGAGGAAAGGGAAGTCTCTCAAATTTTCTAAGTTATTATTCTTTCCTGGATAATTTCACATAATGTGAAATATTCCTTATTTCTTTAAAATTCTGCCTACAGACCAAAATGAACTTCCCTGGACACTTCCCATTTCCCAGTCATTTTACTGAACAAGTTGCTTTTCCCAAGACTCTTCAATCAAGGGTTTCTTGAGCCCCCCAGATGGACTTTTCCCTCAAAACATGAGGTCTACCTGAATCATCTACAGAGTATCAAAAAAGATGGGACGCCTGAAACCTTATCTATAACCTTAATTAAAATAAGGTCTTTCAAATTGGGAAGAGGGGTGGAGTTCAGTTCTCTGTATGAAAATTCTTTGAAACTCAGCTTATTAGATACCTTCCCAAGATGACTTACTTAGTTGGCTTGACATAGAACAACTAGGAAGAAAGCAGATTTTCCTTCCGGATTTCTTGTGGACAATTGATTTAAAGAGGCAGCATGACCAATAAAGTGCTGGACAGGAAGTCAGGAAGACCTTTGTTCAGAGCCTACCACTGACACATATTAATGTGGCCCTAAGCAAGTCATTCTACCTCTTTGGGTCTGTTTCTCCATCTTTAAAATGGGGATAAAAATCCTTATAGTATCTACCTCACAGAGCAGGCTTAAATGAAATAATCTCTGTAAAGTGCTTCATGAATTTTTAAAGCACCATACAAATGGTGTTTTACTAGCTGATTTTGATGCCCTATTAAACTAAATACCCTTGAAATTGGGCATATTTCATTTTCTGTGACTGGAAATGCAAACCTTTCTTTCACGGCAGGAAAAGAAATATTGACCGAGCGAAAAAGACATTAAATTATTCCCAAAGAGCCCCACCTCTCTCACTTGTCTGTTTTGCTCAGCTTTCAGGTAGTCATTTCAGTTTGTCATTGTCTGTTCTATTCATGTTTTCCCCCTTCCCTCCTAGGCGACCACGGATTTATACGGCAACTGTACTTTGCGGCATTCGGGAACATCAGCTGCTGCCCCTGAGGCTGCCGGAGTGTTTGCGTTGGCGCTGGAGGCTAAGTATGTAAACAGCAGATATGCCCAGTGTCAATTCTGCCGAGCTGTTTCGAACGCATCTGCCTGCCTGTTTATGGAGCTGTTTTTTAGGACTGAGGTGGAAAACAAGCCTGAGAGATTATAATTTGGCAGGTCCCAAGAATGGTTGATCAGCTCTTGTGTTAGGGGAGTGCCTTTTGGGTAACCCTATTCCCGTTATTTCGTCCAAAAGACGTAACTCGTTGGGACCATATGTTGTGGTCTCTCCTGAACATGTGAGGCTCGTTCTCCCTTCCAACCCTTTGTTGAGGTCATTCTTACCCAGAATGCCCTCTCCTTACCCCTCTTCCTTTAGCCCAAATTCTAGTTCTTCCATGAGACTTATCAACCTGAACTCAAATTAAGCTCTTAGATGCAGCAGAGAAGGAAGGAACAGTGTTAAGACCTGGAGCTGGAAAGAATTAAGTTCAATTCTGTTCAAATCTAATACTTAGCTGTGTGACAATAAGCAAATCACCTAATGTCTCTGATTGTTTCCCTATTTGAAAATAGAGAAAATTATATTGCTGATGGCTGCTAAGAAGCTCAAATGAGAGATCATGTATGTAAGACAGTTTGTGAAGCTCATAGTGATCTGTGGGAGGGAGTATAGAGAGTTCTACGAAACTAAGAAAAGGGTGGGAATGGAATCTAGACATGGCGGATCCCTGGCCATGTCCAAGGGCCAATCTGCCCCTTTGCCATTGTACAAGGGAAGTCAAATAGCCTTGTACAAATACCAGAAAAGCAGAGCAGAGAACAAGCGAAGGAAAGTAATAAGACTGGCAGGGTAAATGAAAGTCAGAGTGGTGTAGGCTTACATAGCAGGCTCAACATCTGGCATTTTACCCTAGAGGCCATATGGAACAACTGAAAATTTTTCGGCAGCAGAATGAACTGATCTGGTCTGTGTTTTAGAAATATTAATGTCCTATCTGAGAGAGAACATACTATAGTCAATTTAGAGTTCAAAGGGATCTCATAGACCATTTCAACTAATCACCTCAACCTGAGTCCCAGAGAGGTTGGGACTTGCTTAAGGTCATTGAAATAGTAAGTGACAGAGGTAGCATTTGAACTTGGGTCCTCTAAGACTGGAGGCAGTGAGACCAATTAAAATTATTAGGGATGACTCTGGTAAAGAAAAGGGGAGGGATACAGGGGGACATTTAGATGATATAAAAACATAAGGCAATGATAAAACAAATATACGTATATATATATATATGTGTGTGTGTACATACATGCATTATATTGCATATATGTGTAGGTGTGTGGGTATGCAGATATATGTGTGTGCGTGTATATAGAGGCTACCGCAGTAGTCGAGGAAAAAGGAGATTACAGTCTGAATTAGAGTATGGGTATAGAGAAGGGGACGGGTGTTATAAACATGGTAAACATAAGTGCAGCTGGGATCCAGGCAATCCAAACCCCATGCTAGATCATAAGATGGAAGGATTTTGATCTGGAAGGAATCTTAGACAATGTCTTTTCTAGCCCAACTCCCTCATTTTATAAATAAGGAAACTGAGCCCCATAGAGCCAAAGTCATGCAGGTAGGTGGTGGCAGAACCAAGAACAGAGAAACCAAGTCCCTTCCTCTCAAGCTCCCTTGCCTTTTCCTCCGGGGCAACATTTGAACCTACTGTGAGCTGTGCATTATGCTAGTGCCCTCATGGAAATTACAAAGAGGTGTGACACATGCACTAGGTCCTGGAATACAAAACAATATATGGTAAATGCTTGAAAGAGGCAAAAGAACGATTTGAGGGCCAAAGCTAGAAAGGTAATTATTGGCTGGAAGATCAGGGAAGGATTACTGGAGGAAGGAATTTGACAGGAAGAGAATACAGTGCCATTTCTTCTGAAGTACTTTTTAGGTGCCCACAGTGTGGCATGAACTTTCTTTCTAGAGTAAGGCATAAGAGGAAGATAATGGCTTCCTTCAGAACTCAGCTGAAATCTCATCTTCTGTAAGAATCCTTTCCTGTTAATGGAGATCATTTGGGGAGGTTGGGAAGAGGAAGGGCTATATTTAGAAATGAAAGTAATATAAAACCAAATTATATAATAAAGAAAAGAAAAGAAAAGAAACAGCCTTTCCTGGCTTCCTGTCCTCCTTCTCTCATTACTAGTTCCTTTTTCCTGAGATTACCTCCCATTTACATGGATATGGATCTATTTTATACGTACATAGATTTTTGCACATGTTCTGTCCCATTAGAATGTAAGATCCTGAATTTAGGAACCATGATTTTGCCTCTTCTTGTATCCTCGGGGCTTATTAGAGGGCCTGGGACTAAACACTTAATAAATGCTCATTGACTGACTGCCTAGTGCAGGAGTGGGGAATCTGAGGCCTCAAGGCCACATGTCGCCTTCTAGGTCCTCAGGTGCGGCCCTTCAACTGAATCCAAACTTCACAGAAGAAATCCCCTTAATAAAAAGGATTTGTTCTGTAAAACTTGGACTCAGTCAAAAGGCCAAGGACCCAAGGACCTAGAATGCCATATGTAGCCTCAAGGCTGCAGGTTCCCCACCCCTGGACTAGTGGATTCTCTCTCACTGGAGGCCTTTGAGCAAAATCTGGATGATCACTTCTAGGGGATATTGTAGAGATTGGACTAGAAAGCCTCTGGGGGCCTGTTCAATTTGGACAATATGTGGTTTCTGTTCATTCATTTATTTCTACCATCTGTATCATAATTGTCTTGTGGCAGTCAGCCACAAAAGATGGGTCAGCTGCCCTACATATGGCCTGCAAATTCAGATTGGGACTATGGCAAAATGTAACCTTCCACATTCCAGAACTACCCCCAATTAAACTATCTTTGGCATTTGGAGAAGTGGTAGGCACATTATGGCCTGCTTGACTTAAAAAGGCATATTTTCAGAGGGTTGGAAATGATCCAATCTGTTTGAAACTGTTTTCTTCTAATTGAATATAACTTCTTCATAAAGAGAGTAAGCGTGAGGATTAAAGATTTCGTGTGAATCCCAGGCCTCATCAAGTAGAAGGAAGTTGGTCTGATAGGCTATTTCTCTGAATTTAATAGTGAGCACTCTCCCAAATGCTTCACAATCTCCAGCTGAAGCCAAGAATGATGAAGCTGCTCTTAAATGTTTCTTTCTGCCTTGATGGTCAGGAGTCAGTTTTTAATTGGACTCTAGGCGAATTCGATGGCATGGCTTTCATTATTATTATGGAGAAAGAATTAGGAGGGAGAGACTTCTCAAACTATGTGGAAGTAGGGGGGGAACTTCCTATATAGGCATAGATTATGTTAGATTTTCTGGACTTCATACTTATTAATTCAAAGCCAAGAAAAAAATTATAAGCTGGGGGGGGGGAAGCTTTGTAGCCACTGCCTATGCTACCTGCCATCATTGGTACCACCCAAGGGCTTAGGGGTCCCTCTGGTGACTCTGGCCTCTGGAGGAAAACCCCCAGTCCCCTATCTTCTAGACTCCTCATATCATAAATCATATGAACAGAGAATCTGAAGCTAGGAGATGCCTTAGAGGTCATCTAATCCAGGCATTTTTAACCTGGAGTTCAAAGATATCCAATCACATGCCTTCCCTCTGTTATTTATCTCAATTTATCCTCTGTGTGTATGTGTGTTTGTGTGTTTATATTTGGTCATGAGCTTGAATGGGGGGAAAATGCATCTTTTTTTTCAGTAACCTATAACTGAAATTTGGCAATTCTTTCCATTATAAGTATAGGCAACAAACATTATTCTGAGCAGGGAGTCCAAAGGCTTGACCAGATTGCCAAAGTTATCCATGACACAAAATAAAGTGAAGAAATCCTAATTCTGGTCCAACAGCCTCATTGCATGTAGGTAATCCATTCAAACAAGTATTTTTTTAAGCACCAACTATGTGTGAGTCACTAGAAAAATAAAGGAAAAAAAAGAAACAGCCAGTCCTACCCTCAAGGAGCTTCCATTTCACTGAGGGGATACAACATGTCAATATATACATATAGCACATACAAATATATACACATACACATACATAAAACTTATGACAGAGAAAGCACCTACTAAGGGAATCAGGAATAACTTTCTGTAGGAGATGGCACCAGAAATGAGCCTTGAAGAGAAGTAGAGGCTTCAGAGACAAACTTTATGAAGTCAGGAGACTGGTGAGGAGCAAATAAGCCAATTTATCTCAAGTACAAAATGACTGAAAGGAAGTCATCTGTGGTATCACCCCCCTCCTCCTCATTCAATAAGCACCAGCTATTACTTTTAGAACCAAATGTAAAATTCCCTTTTGGGCATTTAGAGCCCTTCACAACAGCTCTTTCCTACCTTTCCAGTCTTCTTATGCCTTACTTATACCGCCCCCAGAAGTCCTCATAGGGCACTCCATCCCTAGACTTTTTTTTTTTTACTGGTTTTCCCCATACCTGGAACTGTCTCCTTTCTCATCTCTACCTCCTGGCTTCCTTGACTTCCTTTAAATTCCAACTAAAATCCCATCTTCTACAAGAAACCTTTCCTGATTCCTCTTTATTCTGGTGCCTTTCCTCTATTGTCTATCTCAATTTATCCTATGTGTGTTCATGTATTCATATTTGGAGGGACCCATCACAGCCATCAAAGCTAAGCCCTTTATTTTACATTTAAGGAAACTGCCCAAATGAGTTTTATTGAATTTCTTTAGTTCTGGAGACCTCTTCTAGCCAATCAAGTGCAGTTTATTCCTGGACTTCTGCCTGAATTCTCTGGAAAAAGTTGTGTTCTCCTTCCAGTTCCAGCCTGATTCTCCTTCAGGCCAGATGTCCCCAGATGCTCCCAAAATAAAGCTTTTTTTAAAATTTTTCAATTCTGTCAAGTTAAACCAACATTTATGAAGGATCTGTTTGTACAGAGACCTGTGTTAGGTTCTGGTAAGATGGAACATTGAGCTAAAACCTAGCCCTTGCACTCATGGAACTTAGAATCTAACATGGGGATGTGACACATACA